AGAAGGATGGCTTTTAGCAGTAACCCTAAATTTCCCTAAACTCTAAATCCTAAATCCTAAATCCTAAGCCCTATAATTCATATACCCATTATGGTACCTCAATTTAAGTTCCTTAACAGCAACCCAGTCACTTCCTCTGTGCTGTTGGTTTCGCTGTATGGGACACTGGGGGTCTCGTTCTGCACCTCTTCACCGCCGAAGTCGGCCATGTCGGAGAAGTTGAAGGCCTGGGTGTAGTCGATTGTCACGTTGCCTCAGTCATTGGGTTATACTGGGGGAATGGGAAATAAAATGGAAACTACTAGAACATATTAGGGTATATCAAGGTTATATAAGGGTATAATATAAGGGTTGTATTAGGGTTATATTTGCTTTAGCCGAGAAAGGCAGGCAATAAGCACCCGTCTCTATTTCCCACTCCACCTATCTGAGGAATTTCCATTTGCTTTCTGCACAACCTCTTACTCCAAAAGCTTCCCAAGCAATGTAACGTTGCTGGCGTTGCTCGCGTTCGTGGCGTTGGTTTGGGTCTCGTTCTCATCTGGCAGCGAGGATGAAGCCGCGGGTACAGGTGCGGGGGCAGGAGGTGCCCAAAGCTTTTTCGAAGCCTGCAGGAAGCGGTTTCGGATTTAGAGCCTTAGGGCTTAGGGCTTTTGATGTGAGGATTCCCGTTTACTGGTAAGGAAACTCCGCGACTGACTTGCTGCTGACTGAGGATTTAGGATTAAAAAGCTTGCCCAGGAGCCTGCAGAAATGAGACTCCGCCCCCCTGGGCATCCAAGCACAGATGGCCGCTGGCAGGGAGAAGGATGGTGAGGCTCAGGATGCGAAGTACCATGGCTACAAGAGCCCAATGGCCCTATAGGGAACTCTCCTCTACCACGGCCCAACTACCCCGGAAACACGGAAGAGGGGGTGACGCGTATTGCGCACCAGGTTCAGTGCCGAAAGTCTGGCAGACGTGCAAGCAAGGTTGTCCAGCAACTCCGCCGTCAACAAGGAGGGGACGACGGAACATTCAGATCAGAACCCATTTTCTTTTCCATTTTTCATGGAAAAGAAATCGACACTTATGTATGCATATGTATACGCAGTTTTTATGTATATAATCTGCCTCTCATATATGAGCCTATGCTGGCTTCCAAGAATATCTGTTGTATCTACAATGCATAGACTCGTACGTCAGTGAATGCCTTGTCCAAGTCGTTGAACTTGTCAACTGGAACGGCTCTGGCTTTGCACATCTCCTGCTGGCAGCACTCTCGCCCCATACATTATGACGTTCTTCAACGCCGTTAGCATCGGTGCATCTGAAGTGGAACCCTTTCAAACATCATGCATCCAGGTGCGTCACAGATGGTAACTTCAGCCACTTCAGGAGTCATTTTGGCTTTCAGGACTCCCCCCGGATCACTCAGTGCGAGCAAAGGGCCCAAACACGATCTCGTCGGCTGCGCGCATTGAACGTGGCCACCAGGAGAGCCTCCTGTTTGTTGATTTTAGCATGGTACGGCTTGGGCTGCTGTGGCAACAGGCAACGTGTGGATGTTGGGGCAGCATGCAGAAAGGAACGCTGCATTTTGCGAGCCTGCGGCCTGCGTGTGTGCAAATTGTCCACTTCCATAGTCAGAGCTCTGCGCTGCCTATCATGCATGGATTCTTCCTTCACTTCTGTGCATTTTGCATTGGGAAATCGAGAATAATATCAAGACTTGTGCCCTTTCCGGCAACTTTGCGCTCAGGTGGTCCCGCTCAGGCTGCCTTTTCCTCGGCCGCCTTTTCCTGGGTTGCTGTTAAGGAACTTAAGTTAAGTTACCATAATGGGTATATATTGTAAATAATAAGGTTTCCCACTATAGTAACCTAAACTCAGGTCCTCCCTAAAACCTAAACCCCTAAACATTAAGTTCCCTAACACCAACCCAGTTTCCTTGCCCATGTAGGAGTCCAGCTCGGTGTCTAGTGCCGCCTTGTCAAGCCCGTCATCCTCCTTGCCGAAGTAGCGGCTGAGCCTGGGTTGCTGTTAAGGAACTTAAATTATGTTACTATATTGGGGAAACCCTATTATTTACTATATATACCCATTATGGTAACCCTAAACCCCAAATCCTAAACCTATAGAGTATATATCCATTATGGTAACTTAACTTAAGTTCCTTAACAGCAACCCAGGAGCTGCTGGTCAAGCTGCTTCGGGTCGGCTTTCCCGTTGGTCTTGCCCTTGCCCTTGCCCTTGCCTTTTCCTTAGGTGTCCAGAGCATTGGGGTTACATTGGGGTTATATTGGGGTTGTATTAGGGTCATATTGGGGTTATATTAGGGTTTTATTGGGGTTATATTAGGGTTATATTGGGGCTTCCCCTTGCCTTTTCCTTACGTGTCCAGAACTTAAGGCTTTCCCGAAGGTTAACTGGGCTTTATACACTACCCAGGAAAAGTTAAAGGCTACCCATTGGACCAGGAAGTTTCTGAGAGGGGCTCGACCACCAAAATTCCGGAATTCTCCCATGGGCATGTCCTTCTCGTCATACATGTCGTGCTTCCAGCGTCCACCGAATCCACCGCCGAAAGCCCGACGAGGCGACCTCTCACGCATGGGTTCGTCACCACGCTCATCGTGCATGGAGTAAAACGACGGGCCCTTGCTCTTGCCCTTCCTTAGATGTCCATCATCTAGACCCAACCCTAAAACCTAAACCGCAAACCCTGGGCCTTTCCCAAGGTTCACCTTATGGTTTGTCTGCGTCACAGTCTTTCTACTTGGAAGAGCGATAGATTGAAGGCTTCTTACTTGACAGGTTTCCCCTTGCTCTTGCCCTTGCCCTTGCCGTTCATGCCGTAGCCATAACCGTCGCCATAACCATTGCCATAGCTCTCGCCATAGCCATAGCCTGGGTCAAGACTGGATCACTCCACCATCCAAAATGATCCCTATGAAGTGAGCTACTAGCAGGAGGCAGGTAGCTGTCACCGTAGCCATAGCTGCCCTTGCCGCCATAGCTGGGTGTGTCCCATGGATCACCTTGAAGAGGTTTGGGCTTCATCGTTCAGGCTTAGGCTTGAAGACTTATCTTGTCTCCTACACTATTCCGCAACATGCAATGACTAGGCTTGGGGGAACCAATAAGGAAAACAGTATTTGTTGTGAAGCAACGAATTCCTTACAGGAATGGAACGGGCGCTATCAAAAACTACCATGAAGTAAAGAATCATCACTATAGTGCTAGGACTCCTTCCCAAAAGGAGAAATGTTAGACCCTAAACCCTCAACCAAAAAGCCTAACCCTTTTGTGAGGATTCAAGGGGGGCTGCATTCTTTCCCCCTACTAACAAGAGGCGAGACACTGCGCCAAGATTTTCCCCAGCCCTTGCCTTGGCCGCGGTAGGGATTCAGGAGCTTTGGGGTTAATTTCTAAGGTTTAGGGTAAACACGATATGCAGGGGTTGGAGGGGATTACGGAAATAACATGGAAACTACTATCTAGGGTTTAATGGAGAAGCAAATGGAAACCTGCGGTTGTTCTGGATTATTTCGGAATATATAGCGCGATCCAGGAGTTTAGGGTTTAGGTTAGGGTGTAGGCTTTACAGGGTTCAGCCAGCAATGTTTAGAGTTTAGACATTCCAGAGCCGCACAAGAAGACCAATGCCTTTTCATTGTTGCGCTCACATGACCTACAAGGAACCCGAGTTTCAAATTTCAACTCGACCTACCAATGCTGCGTCTCTGTGCAGAAAAACCCCAAATCAATGAGCAAGTTCTGCCACCCCACCACTCCGTGTTTTGCCAAAACGCTACCCTTAAACCGAATACACTAACACCGTGTACTAATCAGGGACGCAGCTGCTTTGGCCCTTTGGTGCCCAACTGTCCTCCACAGGCGAAGCATACCATGAAACATGCTTTACGGTTTCGGGCTTGCGGGTTCATGTTTCATCAACGGGATCCAGAAACTAACGTGGGCTCTACGCTGCTTGCTCTATACCCCGGACTCAAAAGACCCTAAGCCCTAAACCCCGAGTTTGAACACCACCGCCAAAGCCAATAAACATGTATCTATATATACATTAACAAGAATACACCCTGCAGAGAGAGAGAGAGAGAGAGAGATAGATAGATAGATATATATATATATACCTATACACATGTGTGTATATGTGTGCGTAGGTGTGTGACCATGTATGCCTTTCCGGACCCCTATCTATCCACAAGCGGACCCTAAACCCTCAACCCTTAAAACCCGAAACCCCGCACCCTAAACCCTAAAATCTTAAACCCTTTTGCAACAGGCTTGCAGAGATCCTAAACCCTAAACCCCAAACCCTTAAACCCTAAACCCCAAACCCTTAAACCCTTAAACCCTAAACCCCAAACCCTAAACCGAGAAGGTCAGATCCTCCATTTCTTCTAAGCCCTAAACCCTAAACCTATATAACCCATATAACCCATGTAACCCATATAACCCATATGAGCCATTGTAGTTGTTCCCATTTTCTTTTCCTCCATCTCATCTCTGCGGGAGCTCCAGGAACTCCAAGCCCGCATTCCACCGGCTTCCTCCTGACGACCTGAACGCTTTCAGACATGAGCCTAAGAGTTTAGGGTTTAGGGTTTGTAGGGTTTAGGGTATATAGGGTTTATAGGGTTTAGGGTTTATAGGGTTTATAGGGTTTGGGGTTTAGAGTTTGGGGTTTCGGGGTTTAGGGTTGAGAGAGTTTAGGGTTTAGGATCAACTCCTAGCATCTCCCTTAAGAGCGCCTGTATATACATATATATATATAACATAAACCCCTTAGATTTATGGCTCACATCGGGGGTAGGGGGTTTTGTTTGGAGTTTCTAAATGCAGGTTCAGGGTTGAAGGTTTGAGGCTTTTGGTGTTTAGGATTTGGTTTTCGTGTCGCCCCTGGCTTTGTGGTGTAGTGTAGGGATCATCCTTATGACTTTGGACTGAGGGCTTTGCCACTTGCACGGCTAGACAGGCCATACAGCAGCGAAAGGCACATGCAAGACTGACGGCTTAGGGCTGAGGAGTGCAAGGGATTTAGGGCAATAAACCCCCCCCCGTAACCCTCCGAATGACTTTGACATAGTTCCAAAAGTTGCACAGATTGCCCCTAATAGCCCTTTCTGCGACTTAAGAAAATCCAGTGATTGAGTACGTACCTATGCTATAGACTATAGAGTACAACAAAACCGGTGGAAGCAGTGGAACTTGGCAAGTGCCAAAGCGTGAACCCTGGCACACCCCATGAAGCCCTAGCAAATTGCACAAACCCAGTAAACTGGGTTGGCCCTAAAACCCTTTGAAAAATATTGATATATAGGGTCCCCTATTAGAGCCATTAGGGAAAGTATTAAATATCCCAGGGGCCTACCCAGTAAATCCCAGTAAATCCCTATCATTTTCATCTCTGCCCAGCGACGCTCCGGCTGATAGCCGCCTTGGCGTCGAGGAGGGGGTCCTGCGCAGCTGGTTCTTCGTGTGACGGATGGATGCACGCATGGGTACATGTAAGGGGCGTGGCTTGCGTCATGGAGAACCTGTTGCATAACACTAGACCCTGAATCCGTCACAGAATCCTGGGCCCTGAAATCCTGAATCCTATACCCTAGATCCTTACCCCACCAAAAATGAAGCGCTCATATTGTAAACCCTCCAAAACCCTAACCTAGGACCCTGTAACAATCTATCTTAGGGGCCACATTGAAGGCTATAGATAACAAATTATGAAAACCATCCAACTGGTACAGAGTGGGGCCTGAACACGTAACGCTAAACCCCAAGTCCTTTACCCTGAACTCCAAACCCTAAGCCCTAAACCCTGAACCCCAAAC